TAATAATAATAATAATAATAATAATAATAGTAATAATAATAATAATAATAATAATAATAATAATAATAATAATAATAATAATAATAATAATAATAATGACTAATTAAGTTATTTATTAAAAATTTGATTTATTCATCGAAATTCAAAAGTCAGAAATTTATTGTCGCTTTTTTCTTTAATCAGAAAAAACGAAGAAGGGGAGAACAAAAAAAAATTGAAAAAAGTTATTAAAATTATGCACCATATAAAATTGTTATAAATTTTTAAAATTCATAAATCAAGAATATATGCAAAATAATCATGATAATAATTAATTAATTTATTCATTAACAAAAATTTGATTAATTCATCAAAAAAGATCAATTCGTCAAAAATTTATTATCATTTTTTTTAATCAAAAGAAAAACAAAGAATCAACAAAAAAATTGAAAACAAAAGTTACTGAAATTATTTGCTAAATAAAATTGTTATAAATTTCTAAAATTCATAAATTAACAACATATGTCAATTAGAATTAATCCATAATTTTCATTAATTTTTAATACGCAATTTGAAATTAAAAATTATTCTTTTTGTAAATGCATTTGTAGGAAAATAAAATAAAAATGTATTTTTTATTAATTTCTTTTTAAGTTCATAAAAAATTATCGAAGCAATTGACTTATTTACCTTAAAATCCCATTCACCCCACCAATAACCATCCGGTTGTTTTGAGCAACCAATTTTATCTTCACATAAATCACCCCGTAATTCAATCCGTAATGTTACCGGATTACCATTATCTTTTGCAATCAATGCATGCATCTAAAAATAACTTTCCTAATTCGTATGTACTATTGAGTAATTGATTTATGATTTTTTTAAAATTATAATCTAATACAATTTAATTTAAATCTTAAGCATATTTAACATTATCCTTCACAATGAGCGAAAAGACTGAAACATTATCATTATATCGAAAAGCATAATAAACGAAATTGATTAAACAAATTCAAATATACGTCAAGCAACTCAATGGTTAGTATTATTTAAATAATTCTTGCATATTAAATGACGTACTTGACGTAGCATATTTAAATGACATATCTCACGTAACACATTTAAATAAATTTTCTACCTACCTACATTTATATGATGTGTCCTACGTGTAATATCATGTCATCAGTAAAATTTCACTTTTGTTGATTATAATATAAGCTATGATTATCATAGTTAAAATTACAACAAGGTTTATAATCTAACTAAAAAATAAATTAAATTTAAGCAAATTTTATTTAAATAAAGCCAAAATAAAGTTTACCTTATCTAAACCAAGCCAAAATGAGCTTGTTAATTCACCAAAACCATTAACATATTCATTCCATGTACGATTAGCAAAGTATATTTGACCATTTTTTCGTCTAAAATAATCATTAACATTTTCATTATTGTTGCAAAGATTTTTTCCTGAAATGACATGAATATTTTTACTTTTTTCCAAATAATTTTTAATTTAATTAAATTAACAAAATTATATTAATTAACAATTTTTAAATGTATCTTTATTGATTTAAATGCTTACTTTTGTATTACTGTCCAACCGCCACCATTTGTTATCATATCACAGAGAGCATTGAATTTACCAATTTTTGGCAAAAACAATTGATAAATTCCATTTTCAGTTTTACCTTTATCAAGCAATGCTTTGCAATCCTGTAAATTGAAATATACTTTTTTTTTTAAAAAAAAAAAGACTAGAAAAAAAAACATATATGTATATATGTTGGAAAATGAATAAAAAACAG